GTTTGGCACTTGTTAAATAATGCACTTATTTCGAAATTCTTTTCAGTTCAGTGAATTAATATAACTCGTTCTGACAATATTTTGATTGTAGGTCCAAAGAAAAAGACTTTCGAGGCGTTTTGGCTGATGATTTGGCAGCAGAATTGCCATACTATAGCTATGTTGGCTAATTTATACGAAAATGGAAAGGTATATGATTAAATTTAAAAATAACCTTAGGTAGCAGAGTACAGCAGAAATGGCTTGATCCTAAAAAATAAACGCATTTCTCAGAAAAACATAGATAGCGGATTTATCCTGCACAACACACCTACATATATATAAATATTTATAAACTACGTTTTGAATACATTTATTTTAGAAGAATGAATATTTCTTCAAAAACTTATTTTCCCAGATTTAGGACTTGTGTAAACCATGGTTACCACATCAAAAAACCCGCCAAGAAATGAAAAAAACATGATTTTGACCCCAAATTTGACCCACGCATGTAGTTATGTTTTTCTTAAAACCTGTCTTAAATTGAATATCACCTACTCGGTAACAGAAATACTCACGTTTTAGCTTGCGGTCGTTCTTCTGAATTTTTCACAATATTTACACATGTACAAAAGAAAACTACACGATAAGCAAGCTTTTATTGTGTAGATACAGATTTGTAAATGGCCTAAAATGTATTCTCAAACCAAATTCGATTTTTATTTTTAAATAAAACATACATATTCCACTTTATCATGTATATGCCAATTTTAGTGTTGATTTTTTTTTTTTAAACTTTGATATATGTTTTATTACATGGGTTATTCATTGTAAAAAAATATCACCCATGACCATCGTACGCTACTGTACACTGCTACCTTTGAATAAGAAATATGCAAAATATTTTTATTTACGTAATAGTACTCATTGAAATTTATAATTATTCATTTATTACCTATCAAATTTTAATCTTTATTTTAAAAATGATAGCATGACAAATCAATGTTTTATGGGTTTTTTTATGATAGTGTATTTGAAACAATAAAACAGTGTATACAACCAAGTGTTTAATCTTAATATCGTTTAATCAGAACAAATGCTATAAATATTGGCCTAATATTGACGACCCGATCAACACGGCGACATTTGTCATCAACCTGAACTCTGAAAAACAGTACGCCTTCTATGTCATAAGGGTGATTACGCTGAAACATAGACACGTAAGTAAAACATTGATAGTTCTGTCAAGTAAACTAGATGCCTATATAGATACCAAGTTAAAGAATATATCGTATCATTCTCAAGTCTACTTTATAAATGAGATAATATACACCTGGTTATCAGGGTGATAGCAAGTGTGCCAGTCGTGACGGAGGAGCTATCTTCCAAGGGGAAACACGGGGAAATAGTTAAAGCAAACGGTCTAACGAACTTTCACTCAAATAGCCGTGTGATAAACCCTTTGTTCACAAGACATTCATGGTCCACATTATTTTGTATTATAATTAATAAAAGCGCTCGGGATAGCTTTGCCAAGGTCTATATTTATATTTCATCTATTATCTTTCAATAGTTCGTCCAAATAGACTTTGTTAATAAATACATGATGATTTAATCTCAAATGTAATTATTAATGTATTGTTGAATAACGAGATTGTCTTAATCTCCATCGGCAACGCCAAGAAACTTCAAAGGCAACGAGTTGTATTCACCTTCGTTGTCAGGCCTGATGTCGTCTCTTTTAGTAACAAAAAGCAGATATAGCGTGCATTCTGATATATAGCGATAGCGACGCACATCTGTCAATAGAATAAAGTCAAATAAAACTTTTTTCGCTAAAGCATGCACTGTTTTTGTCATGCAGATGTTTCAAAAACTATTCTCTTGGTGTTAGTCGTCATGCAAACTTCAAGAATATGACAGTAGGCTAAGGTTTTCTGCAGCATAAAGGGATGTATCTCTAATTTCTTTAAAAAACAACTCTCATCATTTGTCAAATAAATTTTTGCAATTGCAATTACGTCTACAGCTGTTATTCGATTCGAATTAATATATGTTGCCTTTAATTTTCATATGTTATTAGTTTAGTTTTTTTTAATTTGTCATACTTATGATCATATTGAGAGAAATCATTAAGTTTGCCGATAATTAATTAAAATAATAATTTATATGAAAATGAATGAAATGACGAAAGGTCAACACTAACATTATCTGCAATGATGTTTTGTGTTGTATAACACAGGAACGCAAAGAGCGGCAAATATCCCAGTTTCACTACACAAAATGGCCTGACCACGACATACCAGATGTGATTGAACTTGTCATGTTTCACCGACATTTGCAGCGTTTACGGACCAAAGGGGATGGACCACTGGTTGTCCATTGCAGGTACAAAATAACAAAGTATTATGTTTTGTCGTGAAGTCTTTTGTCCATATTTACCAGATGACAACATTTAATATTAACATTTTGTCGCACTCCTCAACATCCAAATGCAGCATACTTTATATAAATGCATAGATAAACTCCATTCATTGACAAATGTAAATGTTAATTGTTGATCGAAAGTGACGAGAGGAATACATCTGCTCATACAGTATACAAATGTTATATTTGCATACCGTTATTATCCTTTCTTCATATCATCTCTGAATAAGTTTCATATTTTGTTTAGTGCGGGAATAGGGAGAACAGGAACTTTGATTGCATTGGACGCCTTGTTGGAAGCAGGGAAGACGGCAGACGTGATAGACATACATGGATATGTAAAAATCATGAGGAATAATCGAATGAACATGGTCCAAACTGTGGTATGCCTTATATACGGTTCAGTGTGTTTGCTAAATAATTATTAGAATGAACTTAAAAATGGTATTGTTATCCTTGATTTCTACCCCCAAACTACATGTTTAAAAATCCAATTGAAACATCAAATTAAGATGATGTATTTAAAGACATCGATATATAACTTGCCCTTTAGTACTCAAATTAGTACATAGCGACATGAGCTCAAAATAAGTCATTATGACCAATATCTTAATAAAGAAATAAGAAAGGCATATAGATAAACTTCAGATATATGCCATTGTGTAGCATTCAGTTCGGTCTCCAAAGAGATTGATATGTAAAAATGCTATACATATAAACACATCCGCTCTATTGTCTTATTTCTGATTTAGTAAATGACACTATATACCATTTTGATAACTAAAGCACAAGTTCAATATACCCAAATAATAGCTATAGCTGAATTCCTATTTCAAATCGGATTCTTTAAATATGACTTATCAGAGGGTTGAAATATTGATGACTTACCAGCTTTTAAGTGGACAACTTTGAACCTTAAGATGAAGACAAGGAAGAGTAAGAAATACCCCCATTCGATCGTGCATTATTACACAAAACGTCAATTATTCACTAAATCGTTTACAGAGTATGGAACGTTTCTGGTGTTTTAAGATATAGATAAGCCTGTCGTATAGTTAGTGTATGTAGTAAACGGAATAAATAATACATAAATAAATACATCACAACAGGAAAGACATTGGACAAGGTAAATGTGAGAATCATAACCGAAGATCATTCGACAGTGGTTGAGCTGTGTATTGCTATTTTGACTATAATTATATGTAGTAAGACGCTACATATTGCATTTAATGAATAATATTATAACGTCAACTGACCTCATACATCCCGTAAATGCAACTATAACTGTTCACTTAAAATGTTAAATTGAGTATCATAGCTATATTTCTACCTTCTCGACTTGCAATCAAATGTATGTCTCTGATTCCAGAATCAGTACAAAGCACTTCATCTGGCTCTCTTAGAAGGCCTTAATTTCCCGAACAGCCTTCAAACAAAGACAGATTTCACTAGCTCCGAGGACAGCAACGTCTATGAGATCCCTGCCAACCAAACACAACGCAACAAGGAATTCCAGGTACATCTGAAATATTTTAGACACATTCATTTTTTCCACGTTTTTCTTTCCCTTATCTTCTTTATCTGAAATTATAACGGCCTTTACAATATATGTTACAGACTCTTCAAGATGTTAATGCAATCAGTGAGAAACGTTTGAAATACGTTTTTGCCAAGTCTACAGAGAACAGGAACAAGAACCGCGACATGGATATTCTACCAGGTACACATCTAATTATTGAAGCAAGTACAGGTG